AAAAACACCCAGTAGATGATCTTGAATCAGTAAAATCGCATATCAAATGGAGAAAATAATATAGACAGGAATAAAAAATCAACAATAGTAACTAAATCATGAATTTTATTCAAAAATCAAAAATCTGTTTAAATTTTGACTGAATTATATGTAATTTCTTAATATTCAATAAGCTGATGATGTTTCAATGACAAGATGTCATCTCATAATTTGACAGTATTTTGTTTTCAACATTTCATAGCTATTGGTTGCTAAAATTTGTTGATTGGAACTTGAAGCTCATTCGCTGTATTTAACCCTTTTACCTTTTACCCTATAGGTGGAGAATAACGAACGGTTATTGGTGAAATTGGCCCGTAGTGTACAAAAAACATTATTCAGTTTATTGCAACTCTCTCTATATCCGAAAAACATAACAGCTTTAAACAAAACAGCACCGAATTTGTATGGGTATGGACTCTTTTTTATGGCGAGTGTAGTAGTACTGGGAGACGAAGCCTGGCAACTAGGGCACCTTTGACCCTTTTTCCGACGCCGTAATATCAACACTAACCGTATACTGGTAGCTGGTTATTGAGTAAATGAGCTCAAGCGTGATATAGACAACAGACAAGACACCATCCATGGTTCGTAAAAAACCCGGATGCGGAGATTCGAACCGAAGAGCCTCAAGTCCATTGAATAGTTGCTCGACCCACTAACCACTCGGCCTTTCCTTTTCTTGACGTATAGTTTACAGGGCATTTATTTTCAAACTGAAGGGCGAATTAGTTTTTTTTTCATTTAGTCATAGATGAATATGTTTGCTTTCCTGAAGTACCTCCACTAAATTTAATCGAGTGCAATGCCAGCAAAATTTTTTTAAAATGTTACAATTGCTTTTACATTGTTAAAACTGGTATTTGTTTCGATCAACGGTCAATTGTAAATTGCTTTGTTAATCTAGTTATAATGAAAAACGTGGTGGGTATGGAAAATAATCATATAAATGTCCATTGCAAATCATTATTGTCATTTAGCGGTTATATAACGCAGCTAGTATGTGAGCTCAACAGAGATTTCACTGTTAGGTGGAGCCTAATTATCAAAACGCGTTCTTAAAGGACACATTTGTTCTAAAACTGTAGTTGATTTTCACTAAAAAAGCGATCTATCGGTTAGTTTGCTTGGTAATGACAAGAGTTAAGCAACACACAGCGCATAGTATGTGACATTTTAGATCCTTCAGAATCAAAGTTTGTCATTTAACTTCTTTTTTCAAGCCTTAAGGCCCGTATCGTCAGTCGTCCCTACAATTGTAGGGCGGCTTTATGGCCTCCTTGATTGTCATAGTTTTCTACTTCTCCGTGTCAGAACTCTATTTTGAGGTTATGTCACAAACATCTATTTGCATCAAATTGTGCTTGCTTTTGAGTTATATCATGTTTAATCAGCCTGAATTTTCCTATAATTTAAAAAGAAAACATATCTTCACGATAGGAGAGCGCTGACGCTGACACGGGACAAGTGTAATCTAGAAACTTTTGAAGGAAAGAAAGGAGTATGACAATCAAGGGACGACTGACGATATGGGCCTAAGTCAGTTTTTTTATTCGAGTGATAACTTTTTGATTTATT